AAGATGAACAACACCCTTTTTTTCTTGGTTAAGTGGGTCCAATAAAGAGGGTCCAAGAAAATGTGAGCGAGGGTGATTGGAGATAAATCGTTACATTCTCACAGGCAAGTAGCACTCAGTCACTAGTATAAGTATGCAAGTTTTTCCCCACAGTAACAAGTTACACTTCTATGTGCCTCTTAGGACAGATGATCCAGAAGTTTCTCGTGTCGTCTGCTCTTTCTTACGACAGAAAGACCTTGCTACAAACTGCCGGCGAGCGGACATCACTTTAACATAGAAGTTACTCCTACTACTCACACATTTCCAGACAATCAACTGCAATAGCAACGGCTTTTCTCGTTTGTTATCGATGAATTCTTGTTTTCTCTTCAATCTCCCCTATACTCAATTTATCATGCCCACTGGCTTTGAACCTTGAAACTAGGGGGACTTGGAATAAAAATAGCAAAGACAATGCTAACGAGTGAGTAGAGGAAAGCTTTGAGGTGGTAAATCCAACCAAAAGGAATAAAGAGAGTTTGTTTTTCTTTTTAGCAACGGTACCACTATAAAACTCGAAAATAGCAAATAATAAAACAGCGGTGGAAAGCGGAAAGTAACAAACTTTCTTGGCTCCACCCTGTTCTTCCTCTTCTTCTTCCTCTTCCTTGGAATCGTCGCTCTGATCGGTATCATCATGGCCTCCCTGAAACTGAAACTTTGTGGGCATCAAAGACCATCACTGTTTTGCTAGATTATGAAAAAATATGAAAAAAAAATTAAAAACATGCAAACCTTATCATGGCAAGGGTGGAGAAGCTGGCTACTTTCGTAGGTGTCTGCATAACCACCACGGGCAACAGACGGTCCGAAGAGCGCCTCCTGAACATAACTTATCCGAGATTACTGTTAAAATAAGACCAACTCACAACTTGAAATAGATTTGACAAAGAGATAAGGAAAAATCTTTTGACGTTCACCAATCCCGTTTTGGGATGCGCCCACGAACTCGGCTTGCACTCTCGATTCCAATTGCGTTTGAATGCGGGCAAATGCTTGGATCATGCGCATAGTAGTTCGTTACTAAGCTCCACTTCACCTCTTCTTCAGCTGTGTAAAATACGAGTCCAGCAGAATTAAACAAAGGCAAAAACATTCAATTCACTCCGATAGCGTGAATACAAGTAAAGTTTATCTGCCTCAACTTAAACTCACAACCTTTACTGTAAAGTTCGAGCAGAGCTGAAGGTAAAAAATATTATGTGGAAAGGGTTAAGCTGAAGTAACCTCCGTAGCAGCGCTCTCACAAAGACTGCAAGATATGAACTGATTTCATACGTAGCGTACACAAAGGTGAGAGAAGTCCATTTCTCAATTGCGAAAGNAAGAAACAGGAAAGTCATTGAATCAGGACTGAAATCGGTTCTCAGGAGGAGCTACGTGACCTTTCAGAGCCATTTTTAATCAGGGCAAATCTCTCGTTTTCGCACATGATCGGGAGTTCATTTTGATCCCAGCAGGTCCTGAATCGCTTTTTCTCGGGAGGATCAGGGACAATAGAGTAGTGACTGAGCGAAGCTTTTACAAACAAATATAGCCAGGTTCGAACACTGCAGGAATCGGATCATCGGAATGTAAAACCGATGGCTTAGGCACTCGGCCAACATGCTACATCGAAATGAAGATTGATACAGTACAACAGCACTTGGGTTTTGAGGAAGAGATTGATACTGAAATTTTTTACCAAAGTTGAGATCGGTTCTTTGAAACCTTCCCCCAAAGCAGAGTGTATCTGAAAAATTGATCTTTGAAATTCATTGTTTAAATACCTCAGTCAGGTGATGAGGTGAAGTATTCCCATTTACACATTGCAAATTGGCTTAAAAGGTAACTTCCAAAACCCTCTCAAAAAAAAACAACAAATATTTTCATAGTAAACCTTGATAGATGCTACTTNTGAGATTCTTCCTCAGGATGAATTTGTGGCCCCCGCGTATACCATATCTGGCATATTAGGTCGGAAAACGGCCTAGTTAGGGAGTACCTTCGGACGAGTTTCACCGGCATTATAAAGGCTGCACCGAACACAAGGGATTCCATGTAGGAAGTTCAAACAACTTGTCATGACCCATAGCGACAAGACAGCTCTGTACAGTTATGACCCGCCGTAGTCGGCTCTTTACGCAATTGCACTAACTGAAATCTCATCCAAATACCCTTCCATGTTATGTCCGACATGGCAATCTTGTCCAACCTCTATTCTTACTACATTTGGAAGCTATATTTTTTTTCGAAATCGGCGAATTCCCTCACCCCTTCACTACCGATAAACTATTCCCAATCTATACTTTCTCGAATAAAAAGGGTACCTCAAAATTATCGTGAACCGTGCCTTCAAGAAAATAAACATCAGGAAATGGTTGAAAGTTCGAGAGAGGGGAAGCTCCGAATTCGAAAAACTTAAATTTAAAAAAAAATTTAAAAGACAGAATTTCGTAAAATGCATTGATGAAGAATTCAGAAGGAGCATTTTCAGCGGAATTACGGAAAATCAAGTAGACGGGATCAATGAAGGTCTATTAAGTGATATTGTCTTGGTGGGAGGACCTCCTCATATTTTTAACGGATGAGCTTTTCTATTTGAAATTGCAATGATTTCGTCTAGCCCATAATAATGAAAAGGTAATAGAGGCATAGGAAAAGGCAAAGTATTGGTCATTGACACGTCTCCTTCGAAATGCGCCATGCATTTAATTCACTTTCAAGACTGCATAGTAAGCGCCTTCCAAGAATTTAAGAAGAGGTTTCATATTAACAGAAAAAGAACCTCATCGTTTTCTTTGGCGAACCCCATACGGGTTGAAGTTCACATTTATGACGCCAGATGACGAGGCTTGCCAACAAAGACGTGTTTCTGACGAGACGAGGAAAGGTATGTATCAAAGACGGCGTCATGGGAATGGGCGTGGCGTCGATTAGGACAAAGGGGCGGAGGTCGACCCTTGGAACAGCACATTCCCAATTTAGTTTTCCTAGAAGCGGAGATCCCTGTCGCTATTTAATCGTTCGCTCAGCGAGCACATAAGATTTGTCAAATCTTTTTGCAACTAGGAAAAAGCTCTTCTCAAACGTGATCTCGGACTTGTTCTGGGCTACTTTGTCAAGAGGCAGAATTCGACTGTCCTCGGTGAACTCCTGGGTATTCACTGCTTGGCAAAAGCTTGAGGCGCCTATTCATACTAGCGTTAGAAGTATAATCGATAACAAGCAAAAAAATATTTTAAATCCACGAGATTATCTATATGATGCATGAGAATGAACTTTGAAGACTGAAAAGTAAAGTGATCTTGCAATCCTCGTCTAGGGCAAATGAGCCGCTTCAATCCTTAGCGCAACTCAAAAGCATGGCGCGCTCTGAAGAATTGATAGGATGAATTGAATTAATCCCTAATATTTTCTCCAGAGAAGAAAGTTTGCATTNATAACAAGCAAAAAAATATTTTAAATCCACGAGATTATCTATATGATGCATGAGAATGAACTTCGAAGACTGGAAAGTAAAGTGACCTTGCAATACCTGTCTAAGGCAAATAAGCCGCTCAGTCTTCAGCTCAATCAAAAGCATGGCGCACTCATGAAGAATTGATAGGATGAATTGAATTAATCCCTAATATTTTCTCCAGAGAAGAAAGTTTGCATTTTAGTGGAAACCCTGATGAGCCCCCTGTTTGATGAGAAATTTTGAAGTTCTTTTTAGATGAAAAGATTTCTGAAATGGTCCACAATATTTTTGCAATTTTAAAAAAAGGAAAAAAAGAGAAAATGTCAAGAATTGAGATGAGACAAGGGAAAAATCTCATCTAAAGATAGCCTCTGGAAAAGAAAAAAAAGGGTGACGAGAAGCTTCAGGACTCACACGTCGTTGACGTCGATGAAACGTCTCCGGAATCTCGCCAAGGTGATCTCGCAACTCTTGCCGTTCAATCTCATCAAAACTGCTCTCATCCAAATCTATTCCAGCGTGGTAAGTCGATGCTGGAACGTTCGATCTCAATGGTTTCAAAAATGTCAAAAAAAAAAGAAAAGAACGAAGAACTCTGCAGAAGTTCTTACTTAATTCGACTTGTTTGATGCGGTATCAGTGAAGACCTGATACGAATGAATTTTATTTATTCGCCAAAGATTTAAGAAATACATTTTCAGAAAAGCCTGAGAGGAAAATTTTAGAAAAAAAGCGATCTACGGGTCTATGGGCAAATTTTGTGGGAAAATAGCATGAAGGGTCTATGGGAGATATATGGAGCTTGACAATTCCAAAAATGGCATATTCAAGATATTGCGAACCATCCATGTATGAGAATATATTTTATACAAAAAAAAGAGGGGAGGAAAATATTCGTTTCAGAAAAAAAAACTCGGACAGAATTCTTTTGCCTGGTACATTTTATTTATGGTATGATAACTGTAATGAAAGGCAAAATTGGATCGAAAGACCAAGGGATGAGTCAATCGATTTGCAAGATGGAAGGGTAGCCTTGGATGCCCTACTGATTTGATCGACACGGGAGAATCATACATTCAAGTTCTAAGATTTTTAAAACCACATATTACAACACTTGCCTAGAACGCATTCACTCCAAAATCCTCTCCTTATTTGATGGGTATGCCAGTCCCTTGGTCCAGCCCCTTGATTTTTTCTCATTTTCTTCCAATTTTTTTCTATTTACTGTCAATAACTGTCTTGAGTTCGCGTACTGATTAGCCGGCGCGTCTATAGGGACGTATAAATAAATAAATAAATATTAACTAGAGATTTCAAAACGTCGAAGTCGACCCGGGTATTCAGTACAAGGGAAGGTTATAGCACTGACTTTCGTGTTCATCAGATTCAGGATGGAGACTCAATCGAACGACTAAACAAATCTGAAGGAAAGAGGATATATGGCATGTATCAAAGAGACAATGCTGTCGACTACCCTATTCTGATAGGCTAAAACCGCTTTTGACTGATTAGACCCTCTGAAGTTGGAATTTTCGAGTAATTTCAATTATTTGACTGGATTAAAAACTAAATCGATATTTCAGGTCTTAACCGTTCACCACAAAGCAAAACTACCTGGAAACTCTTACCGAGATCGTCATTTTCATTCAAAAGTGCAGTCCGTTGATTGTCGTTGAGGGCTGGGTCCGATTCGACCCATTGGTAGCCATGAAATGTCATTCCCGATCCGTCCTCCGACGCATCTGAAACAGGAAAGTTCAAGTGACTTCTGGAAATGGATTTTTATCCATCTCGTGGGAAGGATCGCGTAGACAGTTCCACATATAAAGTTAAAATCAAGATGCTAGAGATTTGTTTTGAAGCAGCTGCTACTGCTAAAGATCTCACATCTGAAACTACTCAATTATACCATTGAAATAGTTTGAGTTGAGTGAAGAGACATATAAGAATCCTCAATGCAGACCTGCTCTTGAAGTACTGTGGCCTTTGACCAACAAGTAGCAAAGTTACTGATTTTTTTGCTCAGCCCCTGCTGGTATCACTGGGAATAACGACATTATAGAAGATGAAGAAAATATGATAATAATCTGTTTATTTACTTTTTCCAGATAGTTAAAATGATTGGCGAGAAAGCTAGCGATTCACTAGACAATGGAAATGGAGTAGTCGTTTCAATTTTTTTTCAGCACTACTTTGGAAGTAAAAACGGAAGGAGCTGTTTCCAGAAGAATCGAAGCCGAGGTAATAAGTCGAATTTCAAAAGGACAGGCAGACAGACAGATATGCGGACAGATAAAGCAGACACAGAAGCGTAAAATCAATTTTTATCCCCCAGCATACGCACAATACTACGCACCTCATATATGTTCGTGTAATGTCCAAGACCCTTGATATCATGGATGCATGGCTCCATTTCACTTCGATCGAGTTCTCTCTCTTTTCTTCACTTTCCGACAGTTGAGAAGCCTTCGGAGCAGGAGAGGAGAAGTGACTTACAAAGAACTAATCCTTCACTTCAATTTATTCAGGCTTGCTTTGAGCCTTTGAGCCGGAGTTTGTGCAGTAGAATGAAATCAGTCGGATACAGGGAATCTGGGGAATCTGTCATCCGGTTACATTCAAAAATCACTTCTATCCGATAACAATTCAATCATAAAAATAATCTGGTAATAACAATAAGGATCAATAGCGAATTAATTCCTTCTGCAAAACTCCTTCTATTTTCACCGGAACTTCCAGCTCAGGCCAATTCGACTCTGTAAAGGCTTTCCTATGCTCCTGAAATCATGGTCCAACAAGCAAAGCAGTGTAAGGACGAGAATGGAGTTTTCGGACCAGGCACCCTAATTGAAAAATCATTTCTTCTCGACTGTCTAGGTAATAATAAAAACAGCAAGTAGTTGCGACTAGTTAAGGGCCATTCAATGGTTCTTTGCTTTAAACGATCAAGAAACACTACACATTCATTTTCCAGTTAACTGTTGGGATGCAAGCTTTTGCATGTGATTGATTCCCCAGGGAACTGCAAGCTATTTTGCCAGCATGGAGCTTTTTTGACATACACAGTTGAGGATTTTTTTCAGGATTTCTCAGAATCAGTTCCATTAAATCTTACTTTACCCATTCCAAAATGTCAGCACAATTTCAAGGAATATCGATGATTAATGCAGCGTTCACTAGACTGGACCAACAAATTCGTAAAAATTATTTCGAACAACTCGCGCTGTCTTAATTGAGTTTCATCAATTCCAGTGCACAACCTGCATGGTGCTATATTGCTAGTACCAAAGAGTATGGAAAACTCGGAAAAAGTGCAATGCTGTAGCAGCGAAAAATCAAATTATAGCTGTTAAAGGCACAGTCTAGACAAATTTGAGGTATCTACTAGTTTCAGACTACTGATGGGAGCTATAGTCCAGGATAGTAAAGATGCGGCGAAGAAAATGCGAAAATCTGCATACTATTCAAAGAAGGATAAGGCTTCAGAAAAATAGTAGAATTCGGGATTGGACGAAATGTGAATGAAAAATGTGACGACAAAGTCATTTAGGAAAGGATATTTGGACGAGCTGTCCGAATGTGTGCATTATTGCGTCAGCTTGCTGCAGTAAGCGACAGTGTGCGTCGTCAAACGATGAGGACGATGCAACCGTAACTTTCACAACGCCGCGAGAATTCGTTTCGGAGCTCAGATAAGCTCAGATAAGATAATAATGGCAGGCCAGGCCAACGTGCGGCATAAAGGGTAATTATTATCCCGAATGGGAACCAAATGTGTTTCCTGAACCTTATTTTAATAATTTATCTTCTTTACAGCCGAGGTAATGGAAGAACCGTGTCTTGCTGAAGTCAATAAACCTATCTCGGATTGATTTCACCTTTACTGAGGGCATGCCAAGCTGGTCTGGGCAAAGTTCATTCCTTCAAAACCCTTCATTTTATTGGATTTGCTTAAAAAGAATTCATCTTGGAGAATAGTCAGCCCAGCACACTTCCAACACCTTCAAATAGAATTCGGCAGTTGCCATGATTCTGCGATGCTGAACGGAAGCCAAGACATGGCACATTCCGAATCGATCGAAGTCAAGCCTTATCCAATATTGTCGATCATTACATTTGGATAAAAGCGTTCACCTCTTCAGACGAGGATTTGCCTGAAGACCTTGAACCTTTTCTAAGTACCGATGATGAAGAGAGTTCGATGATGAATCTTATGAAACTTCCGGCCTAAATTTGGTTCTGTGAAAGTTCATCCATCACGGGTATGTTCGAGTGGGGTGGCAAGACAAAGCGCTGCCGTCAATTGATCTTCTTCTTCTACGAGGCAAAAGATGGGCGACCGGCGATGTCTAAATAACCGCCGTGGGAGGCATAATCGGATGACATTTGTTCAAATATGTGGACACATCCTTCGTTTTTTTCGATTTTTCCTTCATTTTTCACATCACTCTTCAGCTGAACATCAAAAACCGAGAAGCATGCATGATAGGCAACTCGAATTAAGCCATGCATTTGACCTTCAATCGAAATATAAAAGTGATACCCAAGTAGGTAACGACCTCGCTCAAATCGGCACGGAAATATTCTCATACACCCTAGATTGTCAGAAACATAAACTTAACACAATTCCATCAGGAAATCAGACCAACTAGCACCTAAATCAAAAGTTCCTGAAGAGAGAAATGTTAGCCAAAAATTGGTACAAGATGGGATGGACCACGGAGCTTTCCAAGCTCCCCCTCCCCAGTTCGACTGATCACATTCGTAGCCGAAACTACAAAAAAGTGAAAGTTTTTACAATGAACTTGAGAACTTTGTGAAGACTTTGACCAAGAACTGCGAGTATTTATTTATTCACTTATTTATTTATTTATCTCATTTATTTATACAATATCTTTGTTTTTAGAAAAAATGGAATGAAAAAGTCAAAAAGCGAGCTTACAAAAATCTCAGGGAACCATATCAGCTCACTGCTCCTCCCGACGGAGAAAAAGGCCCTCACCCACGAGTTCTAGGCTCCTCTTGCTTCCTTCAACACTGATACCCTACAGTATTTCTAACCAACGACGGAAAGTACAAGCATAAATAAAGCATAAAGCTCTTCATTTCTGCCAAGGCCATATTTTACATGGGATCCGTATACGAGTAAGCGTAGGGGATTCTGTGAAAAATGGGGCTTCGACAAAAGTACAGGGCAAAAAAGTTTAAGGACACGTATGAAAGATGGAGGAGTGGAATTACAAGTAACCGAAGGATGAGTTTCATTGTTAGCGACTGGCTCGGAGTGGCCAAGTGGAGGGAAAATCATTATTTCAGCAAAATTACAAAGAAATACTCCGATTCCCCAATAAGAAAATCTTATAGATCAGAAGATCTTTTGCAATCGGAGAGCAAGCAGCTCTCCCTTGTGTTCCCATGAAAGCGAGTCTTAGAACAAATATAGTGAGCTGGGTAGTAAAAAATCACTTTCTATTTCAAATAATCCATCAAGGCAAATCTGAAGCCATACCCGTTCCTTAGAGGAAACAGGAGACGGGTGGGATGTACAGCGTGGGGGAAAACTGAAAAACTAGAAAATGAGAATCATGTTTCGGAAGAGAATGAAAACAGAAACTGAAACCACTTCGTTTGGGTTTTCCAAGAAGGAGTGGGCAAACTTTCAGATAAGCGACCTCAAGTCGGCTACGGTTCATACATTACATGAGCCATTGGAAATATCTGAAGACGGAAGCACGGAACAAAATTTATTTATTTATTTACGCGCTCCTCTGAGTGCGCCACAACTATAACAGTAGCAAGAAACCACCCGCAAAAACCACTGTACAGAGTGAGATTAAGAAGGGAAATAGGACAAAGTCACTGGTATATATCAAACTCCAGAAGCAATGATAATGAGTGCAACGAAGATGCCCCTATAGCCAGTAACCGCGCCAGTTGGCCATGGTGGCCTAATTCCGTTCAGAGTCATAGGGAAAAGTCAGAACGTCGACACCGGGTATGCGAACTTCCCTCATAGAACTGGATTAGACCGAAACAGGTTAAATATAGGATACAAAGATCCAAAATTTTGGCGTTTATCAATACCGTTCCTGGAATGCGCTCGTGCATCGACATCTATTTGGAATCGTAGAAGCGTCTTGAATAGGTATAGGCTCCTACATCTGCGTTGGCCAGCTGAAGAAAACGTCACTGCTTCTATCCCCTCAAACAGGTCTGGATCCAACCAACCGACCACGAAAAGATGAAGACGTGGGGGCAATGGGTCATGCATATCGTTCGAGACTCCTTCCCCGGACCATGTGTATGGTAGAGCGCCGCTTTGTACTACACCTCCTCCTATACAATCCTATCGTCATACTGACTGCTGTTTTTGAGGAGTGCAGAACGATACGGGGACCACCTGCTATTTTTTATAATGAAAAAAAATGAGAATGCAATGAAAACGAGAAGGAACCACGCTTGCAATTTTTCTTTAGGAGGACAACAAATCGATAATACAGGGGATATCACTACAGAATACGGGGATCAACAATGAGCGCCAGCCATTGTTAACATTGATTCGAGGAATTGCCAGCTAGAAACTGTAGCTGCGATGACCCTTTCTGGGAAAATCGTTAGATCTTGACGCAACACCATGAAAATTACAGTGGAAGGCAGTACACAAGGAGAAGGGGGAGCTTCAAAGCTAATGGAGAAGAGCGTAATTAGAACTCAAAAAATTTTTTTGAGGTCGCCTAAAATCCCTATGTAGAAATCTCGATAGGTAGACACGTCAATCACCATAAAATCCGCATATTGTGGGACAGAGCATTAGGCTGCCAAGAAATCCAAGTCAAAACTAACAACTAGTGGCTCAAAAAAAAGCTGAGTTTCATTCTGTTCAAGTTTCTATCGCCCCAGCGGCTCTCAGGAGTCGTGGATTCGGTAAGCTTGGTGAAATCAAGTAGGTCGATTAAAAAATTGTCGAATCGAAAACGGATTATTTCAGCCAGCTACCAGTGGCTTGAAATTAGAAAGGCTCTCCCAAGCAAAGTTCTTCATTGAACTTTAATCAATTTAACAAAAAAAATCTTTCAAGGTGGACAAATATAGTTACTAATACAAAAAAATGAGTCAAACCAAAAACTCATTATTCCTCTGATGACCAAAATTCTTAGAACAGCTGATGAGGCGAGGGATGCTTCATGGAGCTGTAGTCCACAGATTAGGGCCACGAAGGGACAAATGCATTGAGCGGAAATGAATAGTCAAGCCATGCAAGTGCTGACGAGCACCGCACGGCATTATAAGATCAGTGGCAAACTTCTGAGACCAACCATGCATAGAACTCGGCTCAACAGCGGACTACAATTGGTAAAGCAGGCTTGGAATCCCCATGACGACAGACTCGGAAACCATGTTTTTGAACGATCT